TTTATTATATAATACAAAATAATTTTACACACTATCTGCACTGTCTCATGAACAATGTATAGAACAAAGGAAAAAGACTATGATGCACAGCAATGCATCTCTCTCTCCCTTAAACTGTGCTAGGCTCTCTTCCTTGATCTGATTTATAGGCCTAGTCACCTATGGCATGATGGACCAGCTTGAATTAATATGCATTTGCTTATGGCTTCCTGTGATAAATTAATACTAGGGGAGATGATAGAGGTCACAGGGGAGTCCCTGTGTTTAGGCACAGTCACTACTGCCTCTGTTTGCTGCTCTGAGCATTTCGTAATCCCTCACTATGATGAAAAGGAAAGTCTCACACAGGGATTTACAGGCTGTGTTTACAATGTGATTATACTGACTGCTGTCTTGTGGTCTTAATAAAGTAATAGGAATGCCTGATGTGTTTTTTCCCCTATGACTATTCGCATACGGTTTTAAGCGTATTTGTTTTCTCCAGATGGTGAACTTGACAAAGGATTTGTTTTGGAAGACTGGAACCGCAGTGTTTTCGGTGTTAATGATATAATAAATCAGAGTTTTCACTTGCCTTATCTTAGCTTTGTCTAATCAAATAAAATGGTCCTGCGATTCTCATACTGAGCCATTATGGTGCCGTTCTTTTGTCGTGGTCACATACTTCCTAATTAGAGCAGAGCTGCTTGTTTTGCAGGTTCGCTGGTCGCATCATTGGCCAGCCTATGACAAGGGTTCTGTCCTGGGAGGAGATCCTTAATGACGGAATGCCCCTTTGGATCATTGGAGCAACGACGAGAAACCAACCATGCATCACCTGAGTTCCTGCCCTGGAGGGAATAGATAATACATAATCTAGCCAACCTCATTATGGATGTCCATGTTTTACTGGCTCCACCGATATAGCTGTATTTTCTATTGCTTGCCTTACTTATGACGAAAAAGTGTCCACCTAATATTTTTTTCTCCCCCCCTCCCCAAATGCAGGAGTATGTGTGGAGGTTATTAACTGCTTTAATTCCTAATGATGCCTGACAGGTGCTCTTCTTGGTGAGATTAAGGACTGGGTGGGTTAATGACGGGATTGGCAAGATTGTCATAACTCACAATAGGACCATTGAAGTGATATTATGAAGAGGACTGCTGCTGATATGTGTTTAAATCTGGCAAGGTGGCACCAGGCAATCTATCCGGTTTTTTTCTTCTTCTTTATGTGATTTTCTCATCTGCAGGGCCCAGTTTTAGATGTGTGAGGAATGTCAAATATTGCTGGCTATCAAGAACGGAAGGGGAATTGGTAGAAATGAGAATGAGAGAAGGTACAGAAAATAATTATAGAGGCAGAGAGAGAGTTGTGAAACATGCATGCAGGGCAAATGTGATAATAATGAAAAATAATAATCATCATTTGAAAATACAACAACAACAATAATAATAATAATTATTATTATTGTTGTTGTATTTTCAAATTATGATTTTTTTTTTTATTATCACATTTGCCCTGCATGTATCTTTCACATATTTCAAACGATTATTATTATTATTATTTATTTATTTATTTATTTTCAAAAATAAAAGGTTGTTCCAGTACTCTGGTTAGATAGCTATATAATACAAAATGATCTTCAAAATAATTTGCTGTGGGGATTTTAAATGTCTTTGTTTTGTTTTGCTATGGATAAAACTGGACAAAGAAAGACATTTTCATCCACTAAGGGCCATCAATCATCTCCAAGTATCTAAGTATCACAATGGTGAACCAGTGAAGCCATGAAGGCTGTGAGCCTTAGTACTGCAATACTGCCCTCTACTGCCAGGTATATTTGCTTCAGTACAAAAGAACAAAGGAAACCTCACAGAAAATGACACAAAGGAAAGTAAGGAATATGTACAACACCTGATAGGTAATGACCAAACTCAACCTTAAAGACACCATTGACCATATTTTCTGTTTTTCCTTGGCCTTCTCTCTAGATACTCCTTGACCTTTCAACATTTTTTTGAAACCATAAAAATCTATTCAATTATGTATTTTATTTTTGAATTGGTATCATAAGTACATTTCAAATAATTGCCATTCATTAGCAAGTAAAACAGTACATTTTCCATTATGTGTGAGGGAGATTTTGTACCATACACAATTAGTATAAAAACCAGTTGAAACCACTAGTCATATGACACACAAGCCATATTAAAGCCACTCGAACCAGCTATTTAATATCCAAACCACACCCATCTCACCTGTGAACCTCTCCTACTTTCTTTCCCTCTCATTCTATCTCTTTTCCTCGCTGCCTATTTCTCACTTAACATCTCACTCAACTGTGTTTTCATCTTTCATTAGTGCACTTTGGATCAAACCTGGTGAGTTGCTACAAAAGCATACTAAAATTTGATTTGAATGGATTTAAGTGTAAAGGAGTCAACATGTACTGTATGCGTGTTTATGTGTGTATGTAAAGCGAATTAAAATACCAAATGCAGCTCTTGTTTATCTTTATTGCTTCGTTACAGATTAAAAATGGGCTGCTTCACATTTGTCAAAGTTGTGATGGTTGTGTTCAACTTGCTTATCTTTGTAAGTAAGCTTTTTTTCTTCATTAAATGTATACATTTGAGTGCAGGGAGAGGGGTGTTTAGAAGAATAATTGCATTTCTTTATTTATTGACTGAGACTTTTATGTGGGGTGTAAAGAATGAAATAGATTCAGCCTGCCTCTGAATAAGCAAGAAATAATTTATCCTCTCCTCTTTACGATGAATGCACACAGTACACACATAAATTGAACTAATGCAAACCGATAACACGAATCCATTAGAAAATGCTTCACTGTTCCACAGTGAAGTCTTGATAATCGCAGTCAAAGTGTGAATGTGAGTAAGCCAGTCACATTTACTCACTTGCAACAATTTTCATCTCATTATTGTTCACGGCCACTTTGTTTGTTTGAGAGCTAAAGACGGCAAGTGCCTGAAATGATGGTATGCTGGGTTGCTTGGTGGGACAGGAGATTTTTAATGCTGTAGAAACGGGAACAAATGAGAGCCTACATAATAGTGTACAATATTTCATTCAAAGCATTGCTAGAGCAGAATACTATTAATTTCTATTTGGTGAACAGTTTCTATTTATCTGAACTACAACTGACTTATCAGCCTTAATACTTGTCAAGGTCGGTAGAGGACAAAACTGGCATTACATGGGTTATACAGAATACAAGGTCAAGGTTTTCTGCAAAGATTTCATTAAAAGCAAAAAACGAGAAATTTGTAACCAAGTGCTTTTTGTTATTTTTGTCAAAATCTCAACATAAACCTATCAGTCTGTCAATCAGTCTTACGTCTGACAATGATTTTTTATGTTTACTGTAAGTTTGCTTTGTTTAAATATATGTCTGCTGATTATGGAGCATCTTTAAACCAAAGACGATAACTATAACAGTAATAATTGTTCTACATCTATGTGAGTAGCGACTAAACGACTAAAGGCCAGAATGCGCTGCACGACTTTTGCACTGATTTACACTCTGGACGAGTGAACACTGGCTGTCGAAAAAAACCAGAGCCAATCTAGAGATTTGAGTCGACAGAATTTCACAGAAAATCAAGAAGTGTATGATGGGAACAGGCTCCATTTTTTAGATTCTGGCAATGACTCCATCTTTGCTGAGGATATCAAACGTTTAATATTTTGAGCCTCACATTTTGACACATTTTGACTTCATTTGTCATGCTTGTCTTCCTTTCTTGTGTTCAGAACGGCCCAAAAGTCTGGTAGTGTATGACCCTCAATCATTTAGCGTATGATCCCCAGTTTTTCCTCTGTAACCATTTACAAAGTCAGCAAGTGTATGATGCCTCATATTCAGAGAGTCACGTAGTGTATTCCAGCCTTAATATAAAATATTGACAGCCAGTCAAAATCCACCACACTTTAAAAGAGAAATGAAGAATTGGTGAGGACGGTAATATAGTTATTGTTATCTTAATAATTATAGTTTACTGGTGTGAATGGGCCTTTATTGTCACCTTTATTGCAGGTGTTCAAGTATTAATGGTGAATGACAGCAACAGTATAGTTTTTTTTTTCAGGAAATACATTTACCTTTGCTTAAGTTGCATCTCAAATCACCTCCTGAGCTATTATTGAGCTGAGTATTTGCTGCCAATTATATCAATAAAAACGGATCAACTGGCCAAGTGCAAATAACCCTAATAATACTCAAATAGCTGTCAGTGTAATTGGATTGGATTCCTATTGTAGGGTTAAATATTTGAGTGTCAGTCAAGACTGTGAGCCAAGAAGCTCCAACAATCAGATCACATTGAGATGAAAAACCCACATTTGTGAACCCACATTCACTATATTTTACACATTTCGACTTATATTAAGCAAGACAGCCCTTAACATGCTTTTTTTCTGTTTAGATCTCCCTGCACAGTGGTCTCTATAACTCCTTGTGTAATACCATGGAAATTCAAATTATTTTCCTCCTGAGTCTAATCGGTTGCATTCCACTCCCATACAGTGTGCCATTTCATTTCCTTAGTTTACCCCTACACATAATCTGATTTCCTTGTAATCTCTCCAGATGCATCTTTCTTTGACACACCATTTCCAACATTATGCCATGCATGGTGGCATTTCATCAAAGCATTATTTGCTTAAAAAAAGAAAAAAAAGCAATAATTATGACAGGAAGGGAGGAATTTTTGAAGAAAAGAAGTTGAAGGTAATATGCCCGTCAAATTCTATTTGCTTAGAGACGTGTCCATTATCAAAAGCTGACAGTTAAACTGCTAAAACATTCAGACAATTCCCAAAGCTCCATGAGCGCAAATGGGAAATGATCAAATGAAAATTATTTTCACATGGAAAAAATAAACGTTGATGGGGAAGGAATATTGAGCGTTTCATGTTCAGCTGTCAGCCAGCTGAGCTGGATGTGAGTTGCACTGACAGTCGTGATTGTGTCTGACAGAACATATCAGGTTTCAGAGATGGTTATGGCACCAACTGTGAATTAACATGCTGACACCAAACTATTCATTAACCCAAACCACCACCAAATGTGTTCTGGGGCTTAAACCTTTTGATATTCGACTGGATGCATATCATTCTGCTTGGAGATATCGCATGAAATAGGCAGAGCCTTTGAATAAACCTCTTCTACATCCCACAGTTAAATAATCCAACCGTGGTGTTGCACTTGGATCTTGATACATCAGAAGACACATAATGACAACAACATTGTGTGTCCATCATTACCCCAGGAAACCCATGCCATAACCAGACCTGGTTATGTGTCAGACCTCTTGTCTGCAAAGCGTCCTGGAAGTGCCATAAATGAGCAGCTGTTGTGGCCATTAAAGGGGTCATATGATGCAATTTCAATTTTTCCTTTGTCTTTGGAGTGTTACAAGCTCTTGGTGCATAAAGAAGATCTGTAAATAGGGAAGTCGTGGCCTAATGGTTAGAGAGTCAGACTCGTAACGGGTTGCGGCACCGAGTCTCGTACCGGCAGGGATTGTAAGTGGGGGGAGTGAATGTACAGCGCTCTCTCCCACCTTCAATACCACGACTGAGGTGCCCTTGAGCAAGGCACCGAACCCCCAACTGGCTGCCGTCGCATCATCCAGGTGGATGCTGCACACTGGTGGTGGATGAGGAGATACCCCCTGACAATGTAAAGCGCTTTGAGTGCCTAGAAAAGCGCTATATAAATGTAATGAATTATTATTATTATTATTATTATAAACACTGGAGCATATTCCAGCTGCTGTGCTCTCCCAAAGCTGACGATTAACTCCTTAGTCTTCTCTGTATTCAGGGTCAATTTGTTCTTAGAGCACCAGCTTACCAAGATCTCTATCTCCCCTCTGTAGGCTGATTCGTTGTTGTTAGTAATCAGTCCAATCACTGTTGTGTCATCCGCAAATTTAACTATAATGTTATCGGAAGATGCAGGAACACAATCATGTGTGAAGAGGGAATAAAGGATGGGACTCAGTACACATCCTTGCGGCATGCCAGTGCTCAATGTTATAGTTGAAGACAATTATGTGCCCAGTCTCACCACCTGGGGGCGTTCTGAGAAGAAATTCAGGATCCAGTTACATAATAATGAACTGAGTCCTAAGTCATGAAGTTTAAGAATAAGCATGCTGGGTATGACAGTATTAAAAGCAGAGCTAAAATCGATATAGCATATGTTCCATGTCTATCCAAATGGGACAAGACAGAGTGAACTGTCAATGAGATGGCATCCTCTCTAGATCTGTTAGCCCTGTATGCGAACTGATACGGGTCCAGAGAGGTAGGAATAGTCTTAATGTGTGAGAAAATCAGTCTTTCAAAGCACTTCATTATTACTGGAGTTAATGCAACTGGACGATAGTCAGTTTCTTTGGTACCTCCTCAATGCACACTGTACCTCATGTGTACTTAGTGCAAGTGCCTGTTCATCCTCTGCTGCAGTAACTGTTGTATCTGTTGTGGTGTTGTCCACTTCAAATCGAGCAAAAAAGGTGTTAAGCTTGTTAGTCAGTGTTACATCATCATTGGGACAGACAGAGTTTCTCTTATAATCAGTAATACTCTTTATACCTTGCCACATACTCCGAGAATCAGCACAGTATGGTAAGGGGCGTAATATTTCCGTCACACGCTTGAGGAATTCGTCCAATCACAACGCACTGGATAGCTGGTCAATCAGAGCACACCTCGCTTTTCAGACCGATTAGTTTTGTAAAAATCGACGCGTTTCAGAAAGGCGGGGCATAGAGGAGAAACAATAATGTACAGTATGTGGAAAATAATGTTTTTTTTTAACCTTAAACCGCATAAACACATTTCATTACACCAAATACACAAAATAATGTTCTTTTTAGCAGCATCATATGACCCCTTTAAAGGCACCCTTTAGTTTTCTATTGAGTCATTGCCATTGTTGAATGACCTACCTCTATGGAACAACACACATAGCTCAGATACACTCTGGCAATAATGGGAAATCCATGCAGGGCCTCTTATCGTACAGCGTAATGGTGAGAATAAAAGGTCATGGGAAAATACGAAAGATAAAGGAGCCGAATCCACATGACTACAACAGATACACGCCTGTGGTCATAATGCTTTTATATGAACTGGAGCTTACAGCAAAGTAACTTGAGCATTAGGTATGATGATGATGTTTCATGAACTAAAATATGAGTGATAATCTGTGTTTAGCACTATGTCACACAGTATGAGACTACAGTCTGTTTTGAAAGATACAAAAGATTTGTATTGTAAAAGAGCTGGTCACATTACTTACCTTGATATAGTTGGCAAACCTTTCTTCTAAGATATTTGCTTAATTCATTTACTAAAAGGATTTTGAGGACTGAAAATTGTGATTAACAACAGCAAAAATTCAATTACCCGGTACATTTCCTACATTCCTTTTTGCAAACTCTCTCGCTGTTGTATTTCAAACGCAACAAAAGCCATCTTTGTGTGCGTTGGGTGGTTGATAGTGACACTGGAACAAGTTGCGGTCACATTTACTATTGTTTGTCAAATGTTTTTAGCAAAATAAGGTTATTTTCATACTACGCGTAATTTGCGCAGGGAATTTTGTATGATATCAAAGATTTCGCAAGTTGGTCACGCGGATTTGCCGCGTGGACCATTAGAAAGCAGCTTGGTTTAAAAGTGACTTCTGTGTGAGCTGTTAATAAAACATTTTGCCCATTAAATTTCGCTAATGTGACTGCACATTTTAAAGAAATGATGAAAAAGGAAAAGAAAGTAAAATAGTAAAAGTATAGCTAAACCTATAACTTACTGTAATCATTTGAAATGACTTCAAAGTATATTTTTATTTTAAAATGTGCACACAGACACTCTTAAACATAGGTTATGCCTATATGCCAAAAATGGCTCTGTTATTATTATTTAATTTTTTTAACAATTATTTTATTATTTTTATTATTATTATTATTATTTACTCTTTAGGCATTCTATTAAAAAAGTTATTTTTTTCTTTTTTGGTCATAAAATGGGCTGACCTCATTACATCAGTATTAATGTGCCACTGGGTCTGCGTTTTGTTTGACCATTCTGCTAAACATGCTGAACAACTACATTGCTTGGAAGGTTGATTTGTTATCATTAAATGATCAAATGTTTGTTGCTATGTGTTTAATGTGAAACCTTGCCAGCTATGGCCACAAGCATGTGCCTAACAACTCCCCTTAGCTGTTTTGCCCCTTAGCTTTTGGGGGCTTACTGCTTTATTTTGCGCAATTAGTCCATTGACGCAGATCCCTTTTTGTCATGTTACAACATAGACAGTAGTTTGTAATGGATTGCATCAGTTAGCATCAAGAATATCAGTTATTTGGGGAATATTTGGCCATGTCTGATTATTGGGGAGGGGGACTTGCTCACCTCATTGTGGTGGTTACAGCTCTGATGACAGGGTGACTGTATACATTATCCTATTTGTATCTAAGCATTAGCATATCACTATTAAAATGCAATTGTGAATTTGTGGAAGTAAAAAGTGAAAAAATGTTTTTGACAGCTGGCAGGTATGTGTTTGGCGGCTGCAGGGATATGGGTGACAGTGGACGGAGATTCCTTTATGAAAGTTTTGCCACCCTTCACTGATGATTTCCAGAGTCATGTCAATGTAGGAATCTTCAGCATCACTATTGGAGCAGTTATGACTCTGCTTGGACTGCTGGGGTGCTGTGGAGCGCAGAAAGAGAGCAAATGCCTTCTTATAATGGTAAATCTCATTCATTTTATTACCTAATATCAAGTGTCAAAAAAAGTTTTTACGTTCAAGTTTTGTTAATATGTTCACTCTCTTTGTCTTTCTCTGTGCTCACAGTTCTTCTCCATCATCCTGATCATTTGCATTGCTGAGACGGCAGCCACAATAGTAGCCCTGGTCTATTCCTCATATGTGAGTCTCGCTTGAAACCACTGACCTCTCTGCCAATCCTCCCCATCCCCCCACACACTCTTTGTCCCTCTTTTCATTTTAGCTGCATGTAAATTTCTAATCATACTCTGGCCATCATTAAATTAGGGGGTTTGAAATGGCTCCAGCACATTCAGCCACTTAATAACGCCCAGATTACCTCAGGCACTATGCCAGCACTCTCACTTTGAGCAATTTATCGCACTACAATATTGACGTTTAAGCATTTTATATGCAAAACAGGTGATTTACATACAGAGCTTCACCCATTTAGTGAAATGTATAATAATTACAACAACTTTCAATGAGTTATAGAGGGTATGTTAAGAGAATAATGCCATTTAATTAAAAACACAAAGGCCTTTTAGGGCAAATAAAAAAATTTAATTCCATTTAACAGACAGCAATCTCATTTAATGCATATGAATAGATAAACCTATACAGGAAAAAGAATATCTGATACTATATACAACAGGGTTCAAAACCTATGACTACATTGAAAATATATGGTGTTCAAAACATGAAAAACCAACATATAAATTACACACACGTTAATTCAAGGTCAGATGTTCTTACTGCAGCACAAAAACATTCTCAAATCATGCTGGATAACATGATTGTCAGGCTTTACACAACTTACTATATCATGCAAAATACTGAGAAATTATAAGTGAGGCTCAGTTTCACTCATTGCTATGCTATAATTTGTAATGAAAAAGAAAAGAGTATAAAGCCAAAATAGAAGCTTATACTTTTTAACCAAACTGTCTTTGTGGTTTTTGGTAATTGTGGTTCTACTCCATTGAGATTTAAAATAGTCTTCTAGGTATTTATGCAAGCGTAGAATCAGTTTGTTCATGAAACATCATTTATATAGCTATCTGGATGAAACGCGGTACTTCATCAACAAGCCAGAGCGCTTAATGCTACTAGGGAGTCACCAGAAAGGAAAAGTGCAGGACATTCCAGTGAATTATAGATCACCTAAATCGTTCAGAGGAACATTAAGCATGCAAATACCCATTTAATTAGCTGTTTGTCACCATCACATTTTTATCCATTAATTTATTTATTTTCCTGACAGAAGAAATTGGTGTTTTAATAATTCATGTGCAAGTCTATGAGCAGCTGCCTCGTTGTATTTTTGATAAGAAATAGGCTTCACAAAGTCATAACAATCACACAATATGAATTTGAATAGCATTACATGTTTACATTAATATGTAAAATTGTTACAGAATAAGCCAAATCGTTATGGAGATTGCGTTTTTAATGTTCAATTGGTCACAGCTGTTTACTGTGTGATCCAAAATGTAATCACTCCCATTTCAATAACATTTCGATTCCATTGTGCTGATGTGGTGTTGTTGGGCAATAACATTTTCACTCTTTAAATTAAATATTATTATTATGATAAGTCAAAGCACATCGAATTTACATTCTTATGTTGTATTACTTTCAGTTGATGTTTTAAATGGCATTCTGTTTCATACACAATCGTTTTTTTTCAATTTCAATCGTTCTATTGCCTTACAGCGCTTTGTCCTGTCTAGATTGTGAGGGAATTCCTCCAGACATTGATGGATTAGCTTGCATGTAATAGCTCTACTGATCTGTGTAGCTTCCACTGCTTCATAGGTGGGAGGGAGAGCACTTTTAATTGTGTTTTGTCTGCACATTCCCACAGGCATGCTGTGCTGAAGACCACTCTTGCTGACCCCACCTTTCCCAGCAAACACACACACACACATGTAACACTTAGCAACAGAGTCCTTGTGTGACTAAAACTCATCTGGGTTTATTAATCAAATTCCAACTAATAAGGGGGAAAGTAAGAAAAGAGAGAGAAAGAGAAAGAAACTGCAAGCATGCAACACAGAGGAGATTTTACTTTACAAAGCATATGCAACCACAGTGCATTCACATACACTATTTTTCCATATATCATGCATTCAGTTCTAAACATATTACATAATATAAATAATAGGCTCAGGACATGCAAACAGATTTTTGTGCAAATGTGCTCCAATTAAGTAATACTGTAGCACACATGTGTGGCTTACATGTGTAAAGTTGCTTTTACCGCTGACTGACCTGCTCCACTGCATTTCGAAGTGATTTTTCACTTGCTGAGATTCGATAATGACTAAATTTAAAAATATAAAGATCTAAAAATAACTTTAAACACCCTACCAGAGTTGGATTCATAAATTAGTACTTTTATGAAGAAGTCTGTCTTTCACATTTACCGGTAATTTAAAAGTTTAAAAAAAGACAGACTTCTTCATAGTTTACTGATAAACAAGAATGATGTAAAATTGTGTTAATGGTGTTAAAAAGGGTAAAACTTTAAAATTAGGCCCCATTAGTTATGTTTTACAACAAATGCGTTAAATTTAAATGTTTAACATTAAATGACAACAAGCAATAGATTTTTTACAGTATTTATTCATCTTTGTTAAAGTAGTTTATAAAAAATTGTTAGTTCATATTAGCTTAGGTCCATTAAAAAAATTAACAGATACGACTTTTGATTTTAAAAAATTTATTAGTTATGGTTGAAATAACATCAGCTAAGATGAGTAAATTCTTTAGAAGTATGGTTCATTGTTAGTTCATAACTAATTTAGTTACTAATGCTAACAAATAAAAACTTATTGTAAAGTGTTACCAGAAAATTTAATTAAATAATGTGAATGCAACTTTGACAGCACTAACATTCATACATTTAGAATGTTTTTCAAATTAATTGACAAATAAATGCAAATCTTTGATATCCACGAGTATCAACATATGAGGAAATAAACTTACGATTGACTAGTAAGAATTGCGTTGCAGAGAAATGACTTTACTGCCTAGCCTTTGTTTCATTTAGCTATGATAAATGTCATTGCTAGCAACCTTGATGGAGACACAATGGTGAAAGCAGTTTGCTTTAAAAAGTGTATGTTTGTGGAAGATTTTTCATCTGCTAGTTTCCATTCCTTTCTGACTTTTCATGTGTCCCTGTTTATCTTTATCTGTGATTTTAAAAGACTGAAATCATTCTAAGAGCATGGGCCACACCTGGACTGAAGGAGCAGTATGGGAAAGATAAAATCCTCACAGACTTGTGGAACTCAACCATGACAACAGTAAGCCACAGCCAACCAAATACATACATACATGAGTATTGATCTGCGCCTCAGGCTTTTCAGTACAGGTCAAATAAAATTAATCCATCATGTCAAATTTCCTGGCTAAAAGTGCCCTTAAAACCAATATGGGGTGGTTGACAGTAAGTGTGAAAATGAACTTACTAAACAGACTGCCAAGAGTTTGACAGGCTAATGAAAATCCTTCAAGAGCTTTACAGATCAATACACATACTGTATATCATGGAAACATATGTAGATATGTTAGCTGTACAAAGCAATATTTGTGAAAATACTATATGCAACTGACTGTTCTTGCTTTTCATTGTGCAATAGTTGCAGTGCTGTGGCTTCAGTAACTACACAGACTTCTCTGAATCCTACTACTATAAGCAGAATGGGACCCTTTACCCTCCTACCTGTTGTGCAGGTCCTGAGCTCTTCCTCTGTGACGACAACAACGCAGATTTCAGTAATGTGGTGGTGAGAAACATACAGAACCGTCACAGTTCTATCAAATAATCCCACTGCAAAAGCTAGCAAGAGTTTGGACATGTTTAAAGTTGCTAGTAGGTATTGTATTACCAGAGGTGTAGCAACTTGCTGGTTTTTGGCAAATAATCATTATATTCTATAAGTCGCAGCTGGTGTGTGAAGAAAAAAATCTTGCAGGCTGAGAATGAATCGAGTATGTGGGACCTACTACTTGGTAACACGTATGCTTTTCTCCATGTAAAAAAAACAAAAACACAAAATGCTAAAAATGTAACTGTATTTTGTGAAATTAATAATTACCTAACATTTAGGCTACTACTGAAACGGTTCTCTGCTTCCGCATGTTGAAAGATTATAGGTCATCCCATCTCTAAAATGATCTCTGGTTCCCAGTTGGAATTATGAAGTTGCCAACTCATATTTACAATAATTCTGACAATTATTTTTGTGGCAATCACCTGAGCCATAAATGGCATATGATTGATGCTGCATTCAAATGCACCTGGGAAAATCATACCTCTAAGTCATGCATTCAAGTCAGAGACATAAAACAGAAGTTGCCAGATAACTATGTCTAAATTTGAAATGATGGAAGAATTGAAATATGTACCGTGTAAATGAAATGTAAAATTTAGCAAAATCGCCAAACTCGGTTATGTCATGTAGCTTTAGGGGTGAGGTTAGGGGTGGACCTTCATGCTTATGTTTTTCACATCATACGAATTCATACAAAATCACCACCTCGTAAATTAGTTACGTTTTCCTGAGAGATCAGTTTGGTGTTTCTACATTGTTTCTTGAATCTAGAATCCTAAGCTTCCCGCTCGTAAATGAGACTTTGCTCAGTAATTCCTGTGCTCTGAACTCACAATTACAATATTTCAGACGCCACTTTAAAGGGTTAGTTCACCCAAAAATGGAAATTAGCCCATGAAGCCCATGCTACGTCATCCTCCCGGAGCTGCTTCCGTGTACAACTGTTGGCGCAAGCTAGATTAAAGTGATTATTACATTTTGAATATAGACATTTTTCTTACAAAAACGCATTGATGTGTCTTTGTTCACCTCCCTGAGCCGTGTGAGACACTTTTTATTATGAATGGATGCGCTTTATTTCACTTCTTTTGGACTGATGCACTGCAACACCCGCTGACTGCCATTAAACAGCTTGGAAGATCAAAGACATTTTTTAATATAACTCAGATTGGATTCATCTGAAAGAAGAAAGTCATATACACCTAGGATGTCTTGAGGGTGAGTAATTCATGGACTAATGTAAAGTTTTGGGTGAACTAACCCCTTAAGGGCACATAAGAGCTGAATTTGGAACCGTGTACTAGCATACTCTTACTATGCTATAGAAATATATGGTAGAAATAGTAACAGTAGTATGCGGTCTAAATTCTGCCAATCATTATGGAGTCGCACGGAAATTATGTCTTGACAGCTCTGATTGGCTAAAGGAACCATAAAACACTATGACTGCTGTCCACTTACCATTTTTTCAGCCTTACTAGGCGAATGACATGTCACCTAATTAATATTCATGAGCCATGCTGATAAGGTATATAAATATGACCCCCCACCACTTTTCAGATCACTCCTGCACCCCTGTGTATTACAGAGATGTGGTTATATGATTTGGGCCCTTTCATCTTATATTGGTTTCTCTTCCCAGGGCTGTTTTAAACAAATTGTTCAGATCATTCAGAGGAACGTCAACATTGTGGGAGGAATAGCTGCTGGAGGCACTGCCATTGAGGTAAACACAACACATCCATCATGCTGTACAAATAACATATGGTTTGGTAGAAGTGTACTGGGTTTATGTTGGCAGTTGACTGTAGCCCTTATCATGCTTGGTTAAGGCTAGTTCGGTATACAGAACAATTTTCCACTTTGCATGTCCAGCACAAGCTGTAGAAATTGTTATTATCTTCATTGTTTCCAAATGCATTTAAATTTACCTATGCCTGTTAGGCACTTCAATCATATGCCACAGACAAATTATTTGCCACCACCTATACATGACAATGTTTTTTTGTTTTTTTTCCTAGGTGGCAGCGATGGGGGTGTCTATGTACCTCTATTGCTACCTGGAGAAAAAAGCCACCTGAAAGTCTCATCTTACTAGTTTTATGTATATGCATCTTTTCTTTATGCTACAAGCTGATTAGTTAATACTTTAACTGTAGATAATATTGTAGATATTATGCCATTATTTATTGTAGGATTTCAGTTGTATCATGTTAACGAGGTGAAGTGGATAATAAAATTGTTGGTTAATTGATTTTGAAATTGGAAGTTACATAAACAATAATTTTATTCTGAGTATGTAATGTAATGCAATTCATGAAATAAAAATGTTGCTGTATCCCCTTCTACATGAGAAAGTAATTTTATAACCAGAGTTCATTTGCATAGAGAAGCCATAATTGTTTTGCACTGAAATGCTTCATGTCACACAAGCTGTTCGTATACATGAAAATTAGTTTAGGGAGAGATAAGAAAAGTGTTTGTGGAGAATGTTATAAATAATGCATTTTAGCACCACACAAAACTATACCTAACCCATTGAAGATATATCTATGTAAGAGACTGACTGAGGAGGATAACTTGTTCTTTTGGTACAATTGATACTAAATAAAATGTAACATGAAAGCACGAGTCAGTCCAGTTCCTCTAAGAATCCCTGCTAATGAAAGTCAAACAAGCAAAGTGTGACAACCTACCCCACTGATTTCAATAGTATAGATCATAATGAATTAATAGAGTTTTAAATAACATTTATACACAATATTGCATAGAGTTTGTGACTTTAAAGATTCACACACTACATTTCACTCTACAAAAACAACTACTTTAGCTGACGGTCTGCATCATGACGAAATAGCCAAACAACATTGGCACAAACACTAGAATCATTTAAGCAAGGGATCAGCCACACTAAATTTGCTTTGATTTCAATGGTCACACCATTTCCTTTGTGGCTGCTTCAATTTTCCACATAATTTGCCTGCTGTGCTGTCTACTTATTGAACAGGAAATAATAATTATATATTTTTTAAAAATATTATTCTTTTGAAAAATAAACAAACTATCTGCAAAAATGCATAAATACAATTCTAAGTTAAGGAAATAGCCAATTTGAAAGCAGCAAAGCCTCAGCAAACTTCCAAAGGTCCTGAAGGAAATTTAAATACATGCATTAATCACTGATGTATTCAAATAATCGAACTAATTTAAATCGCTCTAAAGAAGAAAAAAAAAGCAAGATATAAACTGAAATTATATTTCTCCCCCTCCCCCGCCTTCTAATAACTACCTGTTTTTATTGGTGAACATACAGCTTATATCTTAAAACTTCTGGAATCACAAAATAAATCTTGGTGAATTAAACAATTTTTTACGGTAAAATTCCGGCAACCACAGCTGCCGTTTTTTTACCGTAAATTTTTACGAAATTTTTTTTACAGTGTAGGAGTACTCCCCGTTGCCGTCATAATTGGTTAAAATACCGGACATATCTTAGGGCCTTAAAGTCACAAAAAGTTGAACCACTGATTTTAAGCCGTTTTATGGAAACATTACATCTATAATTATTAGATATCATTCCAATAGAATTCAAAATAAATTAATTAATAAATTAAAAAAAGACTACTGTGCATCCTAAAAACATTAAGAAACAAATAACCTATATAATTGTCTGCTTGCAACCATATAATTCAAAGACATAACCATGGAAATAAAAAATGGACAGAGGGAAAACAATGTAAGAAAACAGCTTTATTTTCTGTAAGAAAACCAATCATTTTTAACTACTCAGATATACAAAAATGTTGAAGAATCCGGTTAACATATTAGACACAATCTCTGCAAACTTGAGTACAAAATAATATGTTGAGATGAAAAACATTTCTATTATGGTATTGCACATGCTCCAGTGGCACCACAAATAAAACGTCTGTAGCAACATCAGTACCGATCACTGAAACCTTGAAACCCACAACAATCTAATCTGAAATCTCCTCCATGAAATGATTTGGACATTACTGCATGAGAAATAAATTTTTCACCATTATCTTCACATACAGTAACTCACGTTAACACAGGGCAGATCTACGTTGCAGCTGAGATTGCACTGATTTCAAGTGTTAATCCTCCACTCTACTCCTATAAGGCTCTTTAGTGGCTGTGTGGACACATAAATCTCACCTAAGCAGCATCACCTGACATTCTCCGGGAAAGAGGATTCTTAAAGCTGTTGCTGGAGGGCCATCATAGCACAACATATAAAAAAAAATCAATTACATAAGTTTAAAACTTTTTTTTTTCTCTCAACTGTGCAGTCCAATATAGGTCATTATATGTAGTTAATGGATAGTGCTTTTGCCACTGAAGTACTCAAACCAACAGAAATACAAAAAAATATGATAATATTTTGTTCTAAAAGTATATATGTCTGTACATAGTTTAATTTGTAAACAAATTTAAGCCTTTTGTTTCTTAACGCATTTTTTCTTGTGTAAAAGTTAATTCATCAAGTAAAAACCTAGTTATCTTAATATTGACAAAATAAATAGACGCAAGTTAAAACATATGCGCAGGATGGCCCAAAGCACTCAGTAGTGTTAAAAAAAGTATCTTATGTCCTTTTAATCCCTTTTTCACAGTGTCCTGGTTTGACGTTATCTGCTGTCACAATTCAGTAACACAAACCAGCTCTGGCTTTTATTATAGTACCAGTAATACTTTAAAACATCTATCAATTATTTTCTAATGTCAAACCTTCCAGCATAAACACATATGAAATTTCATGACCCCAGGAAAAGCTCTCACTGTAAAATACATACCACCAAAAGAGAAGGTCACATCACACACCATTTTTAGAAATCCACACTTATACCATTCTATTTTCAAAAGCCTGCAGTTCCTAGAGGCTCAGGACGGTTCAGTCAGGTTCATCCTATAGTTCACCCCTTTTGTCTTGCATTGGCCTGAAGGGTAACACCAAGCCCATTATTGGCCTGACATAGGCTTTGTCTGTTAGTGGTTAGGAAAGGCCCTTTGGGTGGGATTAGGACTGTTCTAAAACTGTTCCACAGGAGGTCCCTCCTCTTTAGGTGCTGGCTCCAAGTGAATTGGAGTGACATTATTGGGCTTCTTAACACTGGGGGGAAAAATGCTATGAAGGTCATGCACAAAATGTCAAATAAAAAACTTAAGTAAAATAAAATAAACGTTTTCTAGGAAACTAGCTATTCAGCTAAGACAATACAGTCAATAAACGATAACTGTGACTATATCAACATGTAATATAGTTGACGATAAAAGACGAGACTAAAATGTAATAAAAAAATAAAAACTTTACAAAAATCTTTTATTTTTTGGGGAAAAAAAACAAGAAGAGACAAATATTATGGACTGTTGTACATGCCTCTACTATGTGAGCTTTCATGTGTGCGGTTGCCAGATATCAAGAGTTCAAATACCCTAATCAGAGCTCCTCTGGATACATTTGCGCATACATTTGCAGATACAAGCATACATTTGCGGCCTGGTGTTTAGCTGGCAATCATGTGTGTGCGCTCACTCTACATTGCAACCTATGATCTGAAAACGCTAACAAACAAGTAAGCTGGAGTTTAGTGATCTCCATGTGAGATATTCTGCTAAAATTAAAGTGTCATTCAGCCAGTCTGTGTTCTGTCATGAGCTGCTTGTGTGGCATGGATCACATTTACATGTGACCCCGACCCATGCTGGCAAAATTAGTCGGAATGAGCACGGGCTAATTTTGAGCTACCGGCAAAAAAATTGAAAAATGTTGATTTTAGTCGATTTTGAGGTTTTCACAAAAATGAGTTCATTAAGCCCTCGTCTAGCGATCCCAATGCTCCAAATAATAATTTTAGATGTTTAATTACCTTTATTTGTACGTTTTCTGTGAGGAGTACCTTTTCTCCACTCGTTTCTCACGCTGACTGTCATCTGAAGCGCGCACATAAAGGCGCTCCCGATACACATATACACAGAATTACAGTATTTAAGTATTCACGCAAACATAATCTGTTATGTCTTAAGTGAACGTTTGGGGAACTGTTGGGGAAAAACATCTGATGTGTTACATTATATTAGATCCGTGCATTACAGTAGGTCTTAATATAGGCCGCCTCATTAATGTTAATCTAACAATAAAAGATTGAACTGCTTTTGTAGATTTAATAATCTATTTATTTGTAATTAACAGACTAAAGGGATTTTTACATTTGATTATTTGTTTTTCTTACTTGAATGCTTTTGTTTAGATGTAAAATGAAAAAGGTAATGCATTATTTGTTTCTTTCTTATATTTGCTCTGTTTTTTTTTTTTTGCATCTGTTTTTATAATAACAAAGATAAAATAAAAATAGCTATATTGTGATTATTAATATAGTAATTATTATTAAGAAAAGGAGGAGGAAAAGATTTTTCTCAAAATTGACTTTGCTGACTCGATCGACTTTAAACAGGTGTAACTCAGTCATTTTAGTCCAATTCCAACAAATCAGACATCATTCTGAAGGTCTTTTAATGGAGAATGTGAACATAAAAATAACTCATTTTTAAAAAATTTGCTCATTGTGACTCATTTTGCCAGCAGTGGTCACATATTGTTTGCGATTGTGGTTGCTGAATAAATGCACGTACCTAACCGCAGTTGTTTTAATAGAGAAACATAATTGCAATTTGGAATTATTGGAATTAGGAATTTCACTGTTATATTTTTAGTTTGTACCAGTTTTGATAATGTAGATAGAGTGTAAATCTAAGTCTTTGATATTAATTTATATAATAAATAGCCTGTAATAAATCAATACACTAGATGAGGTAAAATAAACCATGTGTATGAGTCGACATTATATTGATTTGTGCTTATTGGAAAGTGCAATATTGAAAGTACAATACTTCTAATGAAATGTAAAAATAAATTTCGTGTGTGTGTATAATTTATTTGACTGAATTACACATCTTAAAATGAAATGGTTTTTATTTCTAATCTTTTTTTTTTTTTATTTGACATTGTTTAACTTTGATATTGTTAAAGGGATAGTTCACCCAAAAATGAAAATTACCCCATGATTTACTCACCCTCAAGGCATCCTAGGTGTATATGACTTTTTTTCTTTCAGACGAATCTAATCGGAGTTACATTAAAAAAAATGTCCTGGCTCTTCCAAGCTTTATAATGGCAGTGAATGGGTGTTATTTTTCAATAGTCCAAAAAGATGTCCAATAAAGCGCATCCATCCATCATAAAAGGGTCCCACATGGCTCCGGGGATGAATAAAGGCCTCCTGAAGCAATTCGATGGGTTTTTGTAAGAAAAATATCCATATTTAAAACTTTATAAAAAGTAATCTCTAGCTTCTGCTAATAATACTTCTAAAAGCCAGGGCATTTTTTAATATAACTCAGATTGGATTCGTTTGAAAAAAGAAAGTCGTATACACCTAGGATGCTTTGAGGGTGAGCAAATCATGGGGTAATTTTCATTTTTGGGTGTGAACTATCCCTTAATAAGAGTAAAGAACTGTGACATGAAGCTCTGAGATTAGAGACAAAAAAAGAATGCCTTACAAACGACAGTTAAGCTCAAAAACAAAAAGTCATGTAACAGGCCCCAATCTAAATCTAACTGAGAATCTGTGACATGTCTGGGGCACACAACTGTAAACTGACTAACCTAAACAATGTAAAGTATACTCACGAGTATGGTGAGATTGGAATAGCCACTACTAGTACATGGTTCTTCTTTCTGAAGAGCCTCCAGAGTCCTTTGTGATAACCTCGTACATCCAGGTCCCATACGTGCAGGCACTATGAGCAGTAAACAAGATAAGGCCATAACCTAATACAACCTTTTCCTCTCTCAGTGTTTAGAAGCCATTTATCTACCCTTGCAGGCTCTTCAAAAAATAGCCAGACATTTGCACCTTTAGCTCACATAAAAACAGGCAATAGGACTTACCATTTGCTAAGATTCATTGCAACCCACTGTAACAATACATGCAGAGTAACTCCTGGCTAACCTGCTCTGAAATGCAGCCATTTGTTACTTAAGATACCCAACCGAAATCTCTCATACAGATTCAAACTGACGATCTATTAAAAAATTCAACATACCTTCGCCAGTTCTGTCCAGGTGTTTGTATCTGTTTCCTGCTCCATTTGGATGAACATTACAAAGGTCTTTCCCTCTGTGTCTGGGATAAATGAGTCTTCACATGGGTTTTTACTGTGGTCCAGAACCTCGGCCCCACTGCAGACACCGAAATGATTACTGCAGTTGTTGTAATAATGCAATTTTAAGATGTTACATTAACTATGCAATAGAGGAGTATGATCATCCGATAAAATTACCGTAGAAGGTTTTGGATTTCAATCTCATATGCATCTTTCTTCAAGCTGTTAACATAGAGAGAATATGTCTGAAAAAGGATATAAATAGGGCTAATATTAGGGATGTAACGATTAAAGATACCCAACCGAAATCTCTCATACAGATTCAAACTGACGATCTATTAAAAAATTCAACATACCTTCGCCAGTTCTGTCCAGGTGTTTGTATCTGTTTCCTGCTCCATTTGGATGAACATTACAAAGGTCTTTCCCTCTGTGTCTGGGATAAATGAGTCTTCACATGGGTTTTTACTGTGGTCCAGAACCTCGGCCCCACTGCAGACACCGAAATGATTACTGCAGTTGTTGTAATAATGCAATTTTAAGATGTTACATTAACTATGCAATAGAGGAGTATGATCATCCGATAAAATTACCGTAGAAGGTTTTGGATTTCAATCTCATATATATTTAAATTTTGTCATTTAGCAGACGCTTTTGTCCAAAGCGACTTACAAATGAGGACAATAGAAGCAATCAAAACCAACAAAAGAGCAATAATTTACAAGTGCTATATTAGTATATTATTATAGTGTTATATTTTAATTTCACAAAGAAATGTGCAGCATTTTGTCCAAGCAATAATAAAAGGACACATTTAATTTATAATTTGTCTTAAATCTCATTTTGTAAAAAATTATAATAATCGTGAATCGAATCGAATCGTGAAATCAAAATTGTGAATCGAATCGAATCGTGAGTTGAGTGAATCGTTACATCCCTAGCTAATATGAAGGCTAATATGGAACTATACATACCTATCTACATTTTTCATCTGAACATTCGGAATTGTGTTGAACTTGTGCTTCTTAAAGTAAACTTCCTGTAGAGAAACATACCAAACACAGTTTGGTATAAAACATTATTTAAAATGAGGAAATGTTAGAAAAGACACAAATTCCACATCACTGAATTCATAGTATTCCAGATTCAATTTGCAGTGGAAAAATATACTAAATTACAAGTAATAGTTAATATAACAATATAGATAAACCACAGACGTTAACGCAAATATAACCATCTCACTTACATGGAAGTAACCATTCATGTTTAAGCCAATAATGCCAAAGTGATAAGAGCGGGAGACATCAGGAATGACACACTCTCTCCCATTCCTCTGTTCCGGCATCCTCATCCACATGTCCCAATCCCATAGCTAAGGGATGGCAACAGTACAAATGGATGAAAGAGGGAAAGATACCACACACAGGTTTAATATAGTTAACTGATAGACTACCATTCAAAAGTTTGGGGTCAGTAAGGCTTGTTTATATTGTTTGTTTTCAACACTGATAATAATAATAATAATAAATGTTTCTTGAGCACCAAATCAGCATATTAGAATGATTTCTGAAGCATCTTGTAATACTGAAACTTTATCATCACAGGAATAACGCTCCCTTTAGAATAGCGTTTCCTTTCGAACGGTTTCTCCCGTTGTGTTAATCACGCTGTGGGGAACACATCCAACCGTGCTGTGCTATAAGCAAGAGCAGAACGAAGCCGCTCTGCGAGCCCAGCCCCAGAGTGCCCATACTGAGGGCTCCTGTAAGCTTGGGTCTATAATGAGACCCAAGCCGCTAGGCTGAGGACTATATAACACGACCTTTCCCACTTACAAAAAGGATGTTAGGTAGATTAGGCAGACAAAATGTGTGCCTGCAGGGCAGGGACATCCAAGTTATAAAACTGGGTGAAGGTAGACGGCGATGACCAGCCGGCGGCCACACAGATATCACCAATAGAATTTCCGCTGGACCAAGCCCAGGAAGAGGCCATTCCTCTGGTGGAGTTGGCCCTCACTCCTATAGGACACTGTACGCCCGCTGAGGCATAAGCCAGGGATATAGCATCCACTATACAGTGAGATATTCTCTGCATTTTGACTGGCAGCCCTTTAGAGTGGCCTCCAAAGCTCTGCTCTGAGTGCCGAAATGGGCCAGAGCACTCAATATACACTCTAAAGGCCTGAACTGGGCGGAGTGGATTAGGACCCTGCTTACCTTCTGAATTTGAGCGAGCGTAGAAGGGTGATGACTTGTGCTCTGAATGGAGTGGAGAGCACCTTTGGCATGTAGTTGTGTCTTGGCTTGAGGATGACTCTATAGTGGTTAGGTCCAAACTCAAGACATGAAGCACTGACTGACAGTGCTTGCAGGTCACCCACTCGCTTGACCGACGCTAAAGCCAGAAGGAGGGCGGTCTTAAGCGACAGGGGCCACAAGCCGGCCGACTGGAGAGGCTCGAAGGGAGGGCCCCGTAGGGCAATGAGGACTATAGATGAGTCTCAAGCCGGCACAGTATGAGGGCGGATTCGGACCGTTCGCAAGGGAACTTAAAACAGTTATTTTAAATTGCAACATTATTCCACGATATGACTTTTGCTTCCTTTCTTTTTTTTACTTTTATTATTTCAATAACTGTTTTACTTTTTGCTTTTTATAATCAAATTTAAGGCACTATATGTGCTTATTTAAATAAATATAATTTCTGGTCATTACTATATACACTGTACACACTCTTGAAATTCAACATACTGACTCTTCAAAGGTTAGCAATGTTATTTAAATGAGAGAACAAAATACTAAAATCCATAGTGAGAACAGCACTTCCCAATAGTGAGAGGAGGATTAATCATTTTTAGAAATTTTTGTGCAAGTAAATGGAGCGGAAAATTGTGCCAAATGAGACATTGGTTTTGCGGGGTTTTGCATGTAAACTGTAAATACATAAACATCTCCTATTTAGACATAAATTATAGGCTGAATGCTGGAATTAGCTGCCTCACCTTCTCAGGAGTTGGCCATTTGGGCTCCAATTCATCCTTGTAAAGGCTTTTTTTAAGCACCCAGCCAAGGCCAGGCATACTTTCCACTCTGTACAACAGAGATGGGTCCTCTGCTGTGTGCTCATAGCCCTGCAAAACAGCACAGCAGCATGGTCAAGAGCACTGCTTGAAGACCTTTAAAGATTTACAGTAGTTTAATCTGAGGGTATCAGTAACCATTGTTTAGCAGAAGAAAAATATACCAAAAGAAGAGCATTTGGCAGCATTTACCCCCCAGACTTTGACAAAGTAAAAACAAAAATAGCATATTGTCAAGTAATGAACAAATTGAAAAGAAACTTTTTGAAGAGATTGAAGAGATGTTTATTCTCCATCACTCACTTGGTCATTCCAGGCTGAGATACAGTACAGACTGTCATCCTCACGCAACAAATGGATGGTCTGACTGAGAAAGCTAAGAGACAAATTTTGGAGAAGAAGAAATACATTTCACATTTAAAAGACATTTAGAGACAATGAGTCAAATGTTGTTACTCAATCTGTTCTATTAAGATGAGTTGAGCTCATTAATTCGGCACACACTTTCTAAACTAGCCTGTGACAAATAATATGGGAGTCTGCTACCATCTAGTGGAAAAATAAGTAATTCAGTAAAATTAATTATAATAAAATTATTAATATACAGTGTGTCAAAATCGTGATTAAAATCGAAATCGCAAAATTGATCAAGGAAATTGCGATAGTTTTGTCCATATCGCACAGCCCTAATATACATACATATATATATATATATATGTATGTATACACTCACTATTAATTTTATATAATCCATCACTATATTTATGTTATAGTATATTATATCCATACCTGAAAAAATCTATGGAAATATCCAGGTCTTCCTCCAAGACAATGGCAAAATCTGCATCCTAAAACATTTTTTTTTTTTTTTAAGTCAAACACTTGCAAGCTGTTTCACAATGTAACTGTATATAAGGTGTGAGGCAGGTGATCATTTACTCACTGGATGCAGATTGAAGGTTGCAGTCAAGCTGGCTTTGTAGTGCTGAGACAAAATGAACATCAATATATTATTGCCATCTTATGCTCATTCACAAACAGGCTGTGAGCAGTGCAATCGTCTATCACTGGCCATTCCTTTCCATGTTAATTGTTAATTTTCAAACAAAAGTCACAAACATATCACCTGTGACACTCTAGCATTCTTAATACTGATAGGCGTATGCTGAACTCCTTTAAGACCGAAGAGATCCACCACATCCATGGGTTCCTATCCAGAAAGCTTTTGTTAAGTTTGTAAATATGTATAAATCCTCTCACAAAAGCGGAGAAGAAAAAATGCATTTAAGAGGAGAGAACAAATTGTGAAAAGGAGACAATACCTCATAGTAGCCATCGATAAAAGCAGTGATCATCTGTGGATTGACACCATGGGAGGAAAGAAGAGAGCGCAGCATTCTAGAGAAACAAACACGGCTTCAGTCAGTTATTCAAGGTATGCATTTTTTTATATAAAGGATTTCTGATTTCTCCACTGAAGTCAAATCAAAACGTGGGGGGAAAAAAAAGAAGTATGTGAAATACATGTGTCTTGATTGTCACTTTTGATCAATTTAATGCATCCTTGATGAATAAAAGTATTAATTTCCTAAAATCAATTCTTGGTTGGCTACAAAATATATGAACAAACAAAAACAGAAAAAACATATCAATACGTGCCACAGATTTAACTAATTCATTTAACTCCACATAATGTGGTTTGGTAGTATGGCAAAGCACAAGGAAATGTACGTTTACTAACCTATATAGATAGTTTGGTCTATTTCCAGCTATAACTGCTACTGGGACGTTGTAGACATTGTTGTTAGGCAGCTAGACAGGACATGGAAATGTTTAGTCAACCACACAGATTTAACACAAACACTTTGTTCTGCTGTCTAAATGCTTTTAAGAGTCAAGTTATCTCAGGATGAGGGGTATAACAAGCACTAACAACTGAAATTCTTACACTTCTGCATAAAAACAATGGTAAAAAGGGAAACTTGGAGAGAAAAAAAAACATGTAGTCTGTCCTGGCATCATGCATATTGATTGTGATGTCCCTGATACCATAGATAAAAACATATCATGGTATCAAAAAATGTATCACAGTAAAATAACTTTTTAAATAGTTCACTGTGACAAAAAAATGCTAATATTTTGCACAGTTTGGTAGGTCAGACAGTGTAACGTAAAGTGTAAAAGTTAATGCCTTGACGCATGAGATTATTAAGTCTGTTTTTAAAGCAAGTGTGATGCATTTTTGAGGACTCAAAAGAAAGTTCAAAAGAAAATACTTTATTTGAAATAGATTTTTCTTCTAGCAATGTAAAAGTCTTTACGGTCACTTTTATCAATTTAATGCTCGATAAAAGTGTTTAAAAAAGTATACAAAAATCTCACTGACTACTAATTTTTCAATGGTAGTATATATAAAAGGTATTTTAATCACAGGATGTGTTTCTTACTGGGTCAGGATTAAACTCTATGGGTGCTGGATCCTTCATACAAACTTACAAAATAATCTAAATAATGTTCGAGTTATGGAGTGGACAACTTAAAAAGATAGTAATGATAAAAGATACAGTTTGTCATGAGAAGTGAATGCGTGTTCTTACAGTTGCCTGATTTAGAACTATAACATGTATGCCTCGGCCCTGCTCCCTCATCTCATCTTCCAGAACCTGCAAAAATACATCAAATATTATTAATATTGTTATCTGGTAATGGTGTGGCTATTGTGTCCTATCATAAAACAGGCTCAGAAGCACTCACAGTGGTACCGTCCACTGCTACATAAACCTTAGATCGACTAGAGTACACCTCGATATCCAAAACCTTCCTCCCACTGGCTGGTCTCCGTGGAGTTTCCATGTTAGGCAGGGCATCATCTGAGACGTTCAATGATAGCAAAAAAAGAATGTTATTAATTCAAAACTGACAGTGTGTAAAAGTTAAAACCTTTGAAAGCACAATGATATTAGTGTCCTTACAATTCCACTAAAGTAATAGTAATATTTTGAATCAGGTGAAGGCATCATAAAACAATGTCCACAAAGGCACTTAATTGACATTACCATACTCTTGAGCTGCATCCTCCCCACTGGCTACTCTCCTTGTATCAAGAATGAGTTTGATATTCACAATCACTGTGATCAGTAGAAACAGGACAGCACTGGCCTGCAAACACACACACACATTATCTAAATGCATTTCAAAGAATTCTACTGCATTTAAATATAGCCAGCTATAAATTCTACAACCTAACCCTAACCTATCAGAAAGCTTTCTGTAAAGTTACAATTTATATTAGCAGCATTACAATTCTTGTGCAAATTGAACTGAAGCTGCATGAACACAAGAATAAATTCTGATGATCATGCTGTACAGCATAATTTAAGATGTTCCACTGAACATCTGGTGCTTCATCAGAAGAACATCTGACCTTTTGAGCAAAAATCACATGGTCAGTGTCACAAATTTGCTTTGATTAGTGACCTATGCAAGAAACCTTTCTTATTCGTTTTAACTCGCATTTCTTTTTTTTAATTTTTATTTCCAGATACTGAACCACAGATTTTCAGTATGGTCCGAATCACATTGGACCCCACTGTAACTTAATCTCAGGATCAAGTGCTGCCCAGCTAACCATAATACATGACCATTACATGACTGCAACGTAAACTGATAACCAAACTTTCGTTACGGCACTTGTGAAAACCGGAAAAGTGAAAGCCTGTATTCTTTGCCACAATCTACCATTATGACATTGTCAGTAATTACGATCTTGTGGCAAAGTCGTGGATCAACAGTTGTGCTGTTATCAGTTAGTGAGTTATCACTATCAGTTAGTTTATTTTATTTTTTACTGATTATTAGATGGAATGACAAAGTAGTTTAAATTAATTAATGCCCTATTTTGCAAAAAATAAATAAATAAAAAATATATATAAAGGCTATTTTAATGATGAATACTAAATTAATTGTTTATAAAAAAAAAACACAATGAAAAAGTATTAATAAAAAGGCATAAATAAATAAGTCTACTAAAAAAAAACACAAATGCAAATACAAGTAAACTTTAGGTTGTATAATAGAGCTTACCATCACAAGGAAAGAAAACTAAAACCCCCATTGTAAGTGTTAAAGAATAATCTTATTACGTGACATGTGCTGACCTGGCAGATTCGTCGTACTGCTCTTTTGTTGGCGAGTCTGTATTTCCATGTGAGGTAGAGGCTGCGCTGCTGGCGGGGGATGAAGGGTTTGGCTCTTGGGTTGGGTGTCCAGGTGTCCATACCTGCAGTCCTGGCCGCTGCTCCTGATCACAACACCTGCCTGCATCCGACAACGCCTGCGATCACGTTTTCTTCATCTACACAACGCGGTGCAATCACAGCAGTAACAAAAGACGGACATAGCACTTTTAAAATCTTCTTTCAATGTTAAAACATGATGCAGGTGGCACAACTTTAACACAGGCTACAACAAATGCTTTATAAGCAATTACAAAAACAATGCTGAACCGCATTTTAACAGTAGTAACATTTCGTGCATGTGCACCAGCTAATGATATTAATAACTCATTAGTAATAGTGACTACAGCAAACAGATGGTGATGGTAGCTATCTGAGCACAAATTCCTTCTAAAGGCAATTTATTTTGACACATACATTTCTGTTGACTGTAAGGCTGCACAGAATAAATGCTAATGACTGTTTACCTCAGCAGCATTTAATGTTGTACAGAAACGACGACCCACCTCGCCAGAAAATATAACTGTAGCGTTTGGCCATATGCAGGTAATGAGCATTATTTGTGAAGCCAGATTGTAGGACAACGCCACATGTTCTTTTTTTTTTCAAATTAAAAGCCCCCTTCTTATATTCTGATTTGCTGCTCAAAAAATAATAATAATAATAATAATTTAAAAAGCAAATAAAGTACTACAATTATTAATATTAATAAAATATTTAAAATATGTATGAATTTCATATTATGAAATTAGCATTAGCTCAAAGCAGTGTCATTTGGCTGTAAAATATAGATTTAAAGAACATATCCACCTTTGCAGGCCTACCAAACTTTGAGATGTAAACCTGAAACACAAGGCACTTTTGAAAACTATTTAAGTTTAAAGTGATTTAATTATTTAATAGCTTTGTAAAATGTCAAATGGCAAAACTCTAAACAAAATTTGCTAAGCAAGACAAACATGTAAATAATTGTGTTTCAAAACACAAAGGCTAGAGGGGGTTGATTTGCCCGTATAGATCTGTGGTGTTGAAATTAAATAGTAAAACTATTAATTTAGAGGTTCTTTGACTTTATGTAACAGAAGTGGCAGGCTGTGAGAGTTTGTCACAAATATCTATGAATATAAGTTCAGCAGGACATTGTCTTTTTTTCAACACTTTAGGTTGGCTATTAAACAGATTAGGATTAAACAGATAAGAATGCGTTTCTTTTTCCATCACTATATTTCACTGATAATTTAGGCAAAGAAGAAATTCCCAATTCTCAGTTTACAAACAGTGTGTGAACAAATTTATCAGATCATCTCTAGCAAGCGGAAAAGGCAGAGTAAAGAAATGCTTTTAATTGTTCTGTTGGATATTGCACTGTTATTATGTCTGTCTAGCACTCTTTTTCTAGAAAAACACCCAGCGCTAAAGGAAAACATGGGACTTCTGTCAGCTTCTGGTCGTGTAGGTGAGATTTTTACATAAAACTTATTAACATAAATGGACTGTTCAAGAATCAGCTCTAAAACACAATCCACTGGCCTATTTTATCAATGTTTATCCTAATTCCTAAGTCTGGTTTAATATATAAACTCCACAATATACTCAAGAGGGGAAAAGATTTGGGATTTTAACGTTGTTGCATTATCTGACTTTTCAGTGCTGTTTTCCTCCCTGTTCACACATGGAGCATTTAAAGATACGAATCGGTATGAATCAGTCAAAGATTCTCACTCAGACGCTGCTCTAGAGGTCCGGCCTGACAGCAGACAACGCTTCAGGGGGGGGGAATTTCACCCTTCTCTGCTCAGTAATAGGTGGTAATTCAACAGGCTGGATACTGAGGAGGCTTCAAGGAGCTAAAACGAGGTCTGGATGTTTGCAGTTGAATGGCACAGAATCTACAGACAGACCTGAAGAATGTCATTTCATTGACATCGACTACAAGAATAGTGGAATGTACTGGTGTGAGAGTCCTGCTGAAAACAAGACAAGCAACACTGTCAACATCACTGTGAGCTGTAAGAACATCAGTGTCAATAATATAGATTCAATTCACACCTTTAAAGATAATAGTTTTCATTACTAATATGTGAATAATTCCACAGATGACTCTTTACAGGTATGAGATGCAGATAATATCTGTTATTGAATTTGGCTTTCTATGTTATAACCATCCTTATGAACTTTGTTATGCAGGATCTTTTGTCTGGGTGTCAGGGCTTTGTGCCATCTTGGTTCTTCTAGTGATTTTTCCTGTGCTCTGGCTGTTGTTTCCAGGTTTCAGGTAGAGTTTATACAATTCATAACAAATTTAGGTTTTGGCCAACTGTCAAATTTGTATGATTGTACATTTTTGTACAATCTGATTATGCCCCACTGAGGGTTAAGTTTGGGGGTGATCCTTTATGCTTATTATTTATTTTTTTCCCTAAAAATTATATGTTTTTGTACCATTCAAATCATACAAATTCATAAAAAAATTACCAACTCATAAAATTACATTTTTTCCCATGAGATCGGGTTGAGTATGCTATATTTAACGGTGATACACACTTAAAAGAATAGTTCACCAAAAAAAGAGAGTTGTGTCGATATCAACACACTCATGTCATTTCAAACTTTGAGGGCTAGTAAATAATTACAAATTTACATTTTTTTAAATTAATTACTACAGCAGTTTATATTATTCCGTCTGTGATATTAATTTCATTGACTACTGATTTACATTGCTCCCTGTATCAAATATCTGCAATGTTTACTCATGCTTTTCAGGGAGAAATTGTATGTGTGTCCAAATAGGGCATTCAGGAGGGAAAGGGTCCAACAGGAAATGCCTAAAACCAAGCAGGACATGACTGAAATCCAGTGGGATCTTCTCTGGATGGAGATGGACAATTTGCTGGACAAACACCAAAATCCTGGCAGCTGAACATTCTACATTTAAAAAAAGTGGATGTTATCATATAATATTTCTGAAGACAGAAAACTGCCACTGTGCTTTATAGAGTGAGTAATGGGTAATATGACAGATAAATAAAGAGGCCAATACAGATTTTTACAGCATATGGAAGTGTTTTCCTGAATAATGTGTAACCAGCTTTAGATAAGAGGTCAAAGATCTTTAAGGAATAAGTTTTGTTTTTAATTACAAAATGACATTGATTTGTCATTTCTCTGTGACTCGTTCACACAGTAAAACCTTGTGTGAACTGCAGAAGTTCTTCTGCTCAGAATGCAATGCAAGCTGGTAATTAAGGTTTTTGTTTTTCTTTTGAGTTATGGTTAGGCCTATTGCACAGTGCAATGTTGACATATAAAATATTTATTTCTTTAAAAATGATAAATTAATAAATAACAGCGATGAAACGTACATTCAAAACGGACTGAAAATGCTATTTATTATGTTAACGTGACATTTGATAAGATGTTAAATGTCAGTGTTACATCATAAAAAAGTGCACTTAGGAGTTTTGATCGTATGCTTGAAATACTGGTAATACTATGATTTAAAATATATCATAGGTAATATGATTTAAAATATTTAACATTAAAATTATACTTCAGTATATTGAAATACTTTCATAAATGTGTAAACATGCGTAAGCATGTTTTTTTTTTAAAGTACACTTATTTTAATGTCAATTTAAGAATATTTTTATAGTACATTTTAAATTAAATAATGCATTAGTAATGTATGATCAAATGAATTCACTTGGTAAAATGCTAACAAAAATATTTCATTATCATGTGAATTATTATGTGAAGTCATTGCATTTTAAAATGTTCATCAGTGTCCTTTCAGATTTCCAGCACATTTTAGTGTTCCTGATTGTGAAATGTGTTAAAATTATATATAAATAAATGCATTTTAAAATGTTCTTCAGAGCAAATGGCTGCAATATAACAAAGAGTGAAAAATTTAAGGGGGTCTGAATACTTTCCGTACCCACTGTATGTCTGTTTTATTAGTTTTGTAAACTGCTTGAACTCACATATGCAAATTATACAGTTTACTTTTAAATTATATTTGGTTAAACTTAAAACAACAGCGATTCATACTGCTCCAAACATAGTTCATACAACTCATGCACTATATTCTAAGTTATTTTAAGCTTGCATTTAGGTCAAAATAATAAGATGCATCACATCTCAATAGATCACAAGGAGAAGCATTGATGCTTGCTATCAATGTCATGAAACCTGACACAGAGCATTGTGAGGCGCCATGTTTGAATGCAGTAATTCTAACATGGCATAGAAAAGTATGTAGTAAGATTAGTATCCAAATTGAGATTCACCCAGCACGGGCAGCTATTTAGAATAATTCATTCCCTCTCCCCCACCTCTAACCTTCTGTCTTCTCACTCACACACACATGCCTTCTGCTTTTCTGGAGATCTGGCTTAACAGCAGACAACACTTCAGGGGTGAGCAGTTTTTCCTTCGCTGCTCAGTAAATGATGCTAACTCAACAGGCTAGATGCTGAGGAGGCTCCATCCAGATCAATTAACAACAGTATATTTACAAATTAGCATTAACCTAGATTAATAAATGCTGTGAAAAATGTCCATTGTTAGTTTATGATGCCTAATGCAATAAAGGAATCAGTTTCCACCCAAAAATGAAAATTCTGTCATCATTTGCTCACCCTTATGTCATTCCAAAACTGTACTTTCTTCTGTGGAGCACAAAAGAAGATATTTTAAAGATTGTTGGTAACCAAATGGTTTCAGTTCCCATTGACTTCCACTGTATGGACACAAAATACTATGGAAGTCAATGGGACCCAAAACTGTTTGGTTACAAACAATTTGGAATGACATGAGGTGGGTAAAAGTTATAATTTTTGGGTGAACTATTCCTGTAAATAATGTTAATGAATTTAACATTTTTGTAAAGTGGTAACAATATATCAATATTTTATATTTTTTACAAAAATGCTGAGAATTTTCTATATATAGACAATGAAAAATAATGTGCAGAATACAAACCAGTAAAATAGCTAACACTCCAATATTACCTTAGGCTAAATAGAATGGAGTCTTTATACAGTTAAAGGACAATTCTGTGTTTTATTTATTTATAATTTTTTTTTTTTTTTAAATATGACACTAGAGTTTGTCTCTCTAAGGACCTGTCATCAGAAAAGTGGGATCTCAGGCATGTTTTACACATTGTCACCAATCACCTAGACACTGTTATCCAGAGCAGCTCCTGGCAAAGGGCAAATGAAGTGAAAATGTTGTCTCATGTAATATTGAGTCCCTGGTGCTGTCACCTCAAAGATTGCATGTCCTGGTTTTGTCTGGCCTGTCACAAACAGGCTGTCTAGTGTACATGCTCCAGGCATTCATGGACCTGACTAAGAAATACATTTCTATACTATACTTGGATTTTACAATATGCTAGTGGAAAGAAAGAAAAGATGAGTGATCCAGAAAGAACTCGGTTTTGGATCCAACCAGAACCACTGAGAAAACTTGAGAAATAATACTATTAATAATAATAATAATAATAATAATACTAATACTAATAAAAACAATCAATCAATTTAAAAGACAAAAATAAATAAAGAAAA